AATAACATATATTATGCAAGTGCATAGCGCATATCCATACTCTACAAGCAGCTGTATGCGGGTAACAATTATATTACCCCAGCATACCCTGAATGTCCAGGAACATTCTCGGCTTCCCGAGAAGCATACAGTGCAAGCAGCCGATTAACCATTGAAGCACTATCGAACTGACAAGATCTTTCGCCGTCTATAGCTGAGTGCCAATTCCAATCTGGGAGAAGTGAGCGAAATTCGTGTAAAGTGTTTTTCCCAAGGACACGACGTTGGGCCCCTGACTGAGTTCTAACACCTGACCTTGAGGTTACTAAGCCCGACAGCCCATCCCCTCCTTTCAAACACTCTGTTATCTCATTTTTATTTCAAGACACTTATAGACGAAAGTGGGTGGTTGGCGGGTGCTCCGGTGTTGTTCGCTTCTTCTTTCCTATGAAACATCTATCGTCCTTATCTCCCCTTCTTCTTTTTTATGTTTGTTACTCTCTTGCAACACCTCTAATCTTCTGGCGCTCATATGACCTTATGCAGTTGCAAGCGCTGTAAATCCTCTACTAAAGCTAAAAAACACGAAAGACGAGAGAAAACCCACATTGAAAAGTATTAAAACCCCAACCCGATCCATCCCATCCCCCATAAAAGCAAACAACAAACGAAGAAACAAAGAAAAAACAAAGAAACAAAGAAACAAACAACAAAACAAAAGACAACCCTCTTTACCTGATCAGGTCTTCCCTGGTGACGTCATCGGGCAGTCCGGCCATGGTGGACAGGTCAGCGGCGCTGCTGCCGGACATGTAGACGAGCATGTCGTTCAAGGTCATGTCGGACCAGGGCTCAGGCACCTCCAGGTCCCGGTCGTGGTGCAGGATCTCCCGCAGTGTGCTGTTCCACTGGATTCTGGAAAACGAGAAGAGAAACATGATGACAATGACACTAGCAATGGCAGTGACAATGACAATGACAGTGACAATAACAGTGACAATGACAATAACAATGACAATGACAGTGACAATAACAGTGAAAATGGGAAAGTGATAATAGCAATAGCAGTGGCAATGAAAATCTTTGTTTATCAGTTTGTCTGTTTGTTTGTTTTTCCGTCAATGGGTTTGCTGGTACGTCCATTTTTAACCTCATTTTTTTCATCTTCTTCCCCCCCCCCCTTCTCTCC